TAAAGCAGAGTGGCGCTGTTTTAAATACAAATCTCTGATTTGCTTAGTTCTTTGGTATCTTCTATAATGTTGCTGTATTACAATCATTGCTCTACGTAAATTAAGGAATTTCTCACGTTGCTGTTTTGAAAGTACAGTTGCTCGATACCTTCTCTGAATTGTCACAGCAGCTGATTTAAGAAAAATAAATTTACGCCTCTGAACAAAAGCTTTAAAATTTCTTTGAATGATGATGGCAGCCATGTGCATCTTTTTCAACAGGACTCTAGTTTTCATACCTCGGAAAGCAGCCTGGATTCGGAGAGCAGAAATCTTCATCATTTTGTATTTATATATGTGAGCATTTGTATCTCTGGAAGCACGATACCATTGCTGAATCACTTTTGTAGCTACAACTAGCTTTAAATAAGCTTTCCGTTCTCTGTACATTCGATAATATGACTGAATAACTAGTATGCACTGGTGCCTACTTCTCAATTCCTGTCTAATTTTCATGCCTCTGTAGGCTGCTTGAAGAATAAGAGATGACTTTCTAAGTGCCAGATATTTTTTCCGATCTTTCTGTCCTCTGTAGAAAGCTCTGTATCGTGCTTGAATTATAGTAGCTGACCTTTTCAGGGCCCTATATTGAAAATTACATTGATGCATTTTAAACATGGATTGGATACAAATAGCTGCTTGGTTCAAGCGCTGGATTTTTCGCCTTTCTCTCAAACCTCGGTAAATTGCCTGCATTTTAACAGTAGCTTCCTTTAAAGCAAGGTATTTTTGTCGTGTATTACGGGCTTGAATAACAGCACGATACCATCTCTGAATTGTAACTGTAGCTTCTATGAAGTGTTTAAACTTAGCTTGAATCACATGCATCCTATAATAGGACTGAATAGTCACTGCAGCCTGATGCTGTCTTTCTATTTGCCTCCTCACAATAATTCCTCTCCAAGTTGCCTGGAATAATACAATGCTATTGTAAAGAATAATATATTCCTGTTGCTGTTTTTTACTTGAGATGTGAGCCCGATAATGCTGCTGTATAGTAAGAGCAGCATGTCTCACCATCCTGAATTTTTTCATAGCTTTATGCTTTCTGTAAGCAGATTGAATAGTAATTGCAGCAGCACGCTGCCTCTGAAGCCATTTTCTCACTTGCCAACCACGCAAAACTGCCTGTAAGGAAATCACAGCTGCTTTTGTCTTCTGATATCTTTTTCTTATTTTGGATCCACTTTTAGAAGTCCTGTACCATTTCTGGATCACAATGGAAGCTTGAATCAAACTTTGATATTTCATTCTGGCAGCATAAGCCCTGTACGTAGCCTGGATTTTAGTAGCAGCCGTGTGTTGGTGTCTTAGCATTCGTCGTACTTTAAAGCCCCTGTAGCTTGCTTGCAAACGCAAAGTTGCCTTTTTGATTTGCAAAAACTTCTGTCTCTGAAAGGTCTGTTCTCTATGTGCACGATAGTATGTTTGAATGACAGATGCAGCTCCGGACATTTTTAAAAACCGCTTTCTCTCTCTCTTCATTCTGTACCAAGCCTGAAGGACAATTACAGCCTCTTGCCATCTCTAAATAATAAGAAAACACAAGTTATACATTTCATTTGTTTGTTGTGTTTTTTTTTAATAAAATATAAAGGCCAACAAATATTCTATTAGTGAAACTTTTATTTATTTGAAATTTAATCGCTTCAGGAACGAAAACTACATATCTTAACTATTGTAAGTAAAAAAATGATTTTTTTTTTTTATCAAAATGGATATTTTGCTCAAATGGTTTTATATGAAGTCAATTATACCTGGATTGCAATTCTTCCAGTTTCTTCTTGCTTTGCCTTTTTTAATTTCTGAAGTTCCAGTACAGCCAAATATCTTCTCCAGTGCTTTTGAAGTACAACTACAGCATTAATTTTTTGCTTCTTGGTCTGGAAAAAAATAATAATATAAACAATCCTCTTTCCTTCCAATAGCAGTAGTCTGAGTTGATTATAATAAAGAGCAAAATAGAAAGCAACTGAATACCTCAGTAAGTATTTTCAATCTGTATTTTCTCCAAGCAGATTGAATCAACTGAGCTGCTCGAATCTCTTTAGAAAGGCTTATAAGTCTTGAACATAGAAATGACACATAAATAATGACTACCTAAAAAGAAAGAACATACAAACAGAAACTTACTTTATGTTGTGAGGAAGTAAAACAATTTTGAATTTTTATGACCTGGCTGATTACCTTCTCGTCAGGTATTGTATTTGACATGTCTGAATGCTGAATCATAGCTGGAACACCTCCCAGATCAGAAATTGCAGCATTGATCAGTTGAAAATTTTTCTTTTCATTATCAAGGAGTTCTTTATAAAGCACAGAAGTACTTATAGCTTTGTAAACAGAAACATGAAAAATATATGAAAGCAGAAATAGTAACTAGTAGTAATAATTCAACCTGCTTTGAAGCCAGCTCTATTTTTAATGAACTTACTTTGATCAAAAGTTCCATTTATGAGATTTAGAGAAGCATCAGACTCAGAAGAGGAATTCATCCCAAGAGTGCCACTTCTGGTACATTCTATTGTTTGAGTAGTGAGTTTACATACAGCTTCCAAAGGCACATAACATGGGTGATAATGATGAATCAAATAACATAATACTCTTCCATCTGAAAAAGACACTGTGAAATTTTCCACCTAGAATAAAGGAATATAAAAAAGTCTCAATGGTGCTCTGTGATGGTTGTAAAAATCTAATTCTATAAATAAATAAATCATAATGTTAAAACAGTTCTGAAGTATTCATTATGAGTTAATAACTTCCTTGGGACATATTCCTCTGGATATTTTTTTACAAAGATCTTTTATTTTTAAAAAATAAGTTACAGAAAACTACGTTTTCTTACATACTAGCCTAAATTGGGTCTTTTTCAGGCAGTTTACGATTGGAGACAAGCAGGCTGATAGGAAAGAAAAAAAACAAGGTCTATGAATAGTAAATTGTGGCAGAAAGGTGGGGGCTAGGTCAGCTGATTCATTTTATTTCTACAAATATTGTCTGTTCAAATTTAACTATGAAAGAAAATTTGTTGTAAGTGTGTAGTCTTAAATGATGGCTAGGAAGATTTGTGCATTTTCTAAAACTAAAAAAAAAAGTAATTCCAAATGGTTTGGAAATCCTTGCTTTAGAGAATGTTACTCTGAGAGAATATTCTACAACTAGATGATACAGTGGTTTGGGGGGTGGGAGGAAGACACAGTGAGACAGATCTTTTGCTAAACTAAACTGAAGCATCAAGTTTGTATTTAAGCTATTCTTATTTAAAGATTTCAGCACATAATTTTTCTTTAGTGTTTTTTAAACAACTTGTTGCAACTAAAACAGAAGAATATATGACCATATTAGAAGGCTATTTAAAAAATGAGATCAAGTTAAATAATTAACTTACCTTAAGAACATGCACATTAATTAGAATAAAATTTAGTGTTTAAAAAGAATCAGTGTCGCACAATATCTTAACCGAAGTAATGTACTAATTTAATCTAACAATATGGAATATATTTTTGAATAACATATAGTATTATATTTTTATACTTTAAGCCCAATTGTACTGCCAGGCCATTATATTTATACCTTTTTTGTGCCATAGGTTTGTACCATTATCTTCCATCCACTAGCAAGCAACTATTCACATAATGCCATTTAGCATCAATGAAGTGTACCAAGAAGAGACAAGACATTAGCAAATGCTATACAGTTACAATTAAATTATCATAATCAATTCTTACTTTACTATTTTAGTTTTTACAGCAGTAATAATCCATATAACAAATATATAATCAAAACATAAATACACTTGTCTCAACATTTCAATTCACTTTTATTACTTTTGATTAAGTTTAATACTTATCATACTCAGAACAGTGTGCTTTGTGAAATTGTTTAAGAAAATATTTACCTTAATATTGTAAAATCCACAGACAACATTCACCCAGTCCATCAGCAGTTTTACATTTTCACCATAGCTTTCATATGAATAAGACCTACTGGTGTCATTTCCCATGCTGTTAACACATTCCACATCATGTCTTTTTAATTTTGTAACTTGCATGTTTTTTAAGAAAGCAATTTCTGCTTTTAACTGATCCATGTCAAGAGAAATGTTCACCTAAATAAGATCCAAACATGATTTTATTTATCATTCTGAGATTTAGGATCTTAAAACACACCAACTCTTAACAAGTTGCTAAGACAAATTATCAAAATTAAAATAGCAACAAGTAAAGGGTTTTGGATAGTACACATTTTCAAAAATGTTTATTTTGTTCAAGTTAAAAGAGCTTACAGAAAATTCAGAGACTGTGAAAATAATGTATTAATCTAGGAAACCAGTACTATACAGCTATATGCGTAAGCCTACATTATTTGAAATAAACTAATCAGGATTCTGCAGTGCTTTGCTCTCAGTTCTAAAAAGATGCTCCAAAATATGCAAAAGCACTACTGTAAACTCTACTTGTAATGCTTTAAAGCAACTGTTTTTTTCTTGGAATTATGCAGCTACTTTTCACAATTGCCGTATGGTCAGAAGACATGGCTGCTGTAAAAAGTTACACAGTGCTGAAAAATCATGTTGAAACTTAATCTCTAAATAATATAGCACTCAATTTCTTGATAATTTCTCTGTGTATTTTAAAGGTTTCAAATCCTAATATCTATAGCTGCTATTTTGTATGAAAGCTTTTCATGAAAGACCTCCAAATGTAAATGTTTCCTCATCGCTACTGCCAACTATTTTGAATTTTATGCATGAACCTGAAGTATACCATACTAAGTTTCATGCACAGACCATTGTTTGCTGAAATTCTAAAGACAGAGAATACACTTTTTTATTTTATCCTCTAAAGATAAATTAAACCAATGTTTATTCAGTACCTGAAAAGCAAACACTATTTTCCATAACAAAGCAAATGTTTTCTCTCTATGTCGATCTACAATATCCTTTGTGTCAATGGTTGAACCTATAAACAAATTAAACAGTTTAATGAAAAGCAAAGACAACAGACTTGTAGGATACCACCTCCACATTACTTTCTAGTACTTACCATTTTCATCTTTCAACTGAATTCCATGATTATTCAATATCTCAAAAGCAAGCTTAACATTATACATCTTCTGAAGTCTGCTGATTGCGGGCACTCTTAACTTTTTGGAAAGAGTCCAATCTGATGTCAGCAATTCTAAAGTTCTCCTTAAATACATTAATATTTCATATTATAAAGTAATTAATTTCTTCATGCAATATATTTTTGTAACTTTAACGACAACATTCAGCAAAAACTTACACAAGACGAATGCCACATTGTAAGTCTGTAGCTAAATTTGTAACAGCAAAATCAAATTCATCCAATGGAGTCTGTATGTGATTAACAGGGAAACCCAAGAAGCCAAGATGACGTGAAAGATCACCTTCTCCACTTAAAAAGTCCCGGGAAAATGCTAGTAATATTTCTTTACTAGACTAGGGGGAAAAAAGGGAGGGGAGAATCAGTACACATATACAATAGAGCTATTATCCAATGTAATTAATGAGTCTTCAGTCACTGAACTATAATATTACAGCTGGCTGTATACTTTGTTTTTAATATTATGGATATTAATTACAATCATTAATGAAACTGCCAGTTACATATTACACAGATCAAAAACTTGTATTAAAATAATTGCTGATTAAATTCTGATCAGCTCTGAAAAAAATATTGAACCTATCTATTATTTTAAAATATATATTCTAAATAAATAAATATGACTTGTGTCTTTGAAACACACAAATACATACAGATTATAGGCAAACATGATTCAAGACAAGTTCAAGTGAGAATACCTTAAAGTCTGCATTTTTGAAGAATAAGCAAGGGTCATGTTCAATAATTCGAGACACTTTGGCACGATCAAGGAAGCAAACCAGTAGTAGTAGTTTTTTTAGTGTAAATTTGGACAATGCTTCTTCATGACCTATAAATGCAATATTTTACAGAGATGCTTCTTGTAACTATTTTTTTAACCTTTGTTCTTTTCAGCCAGTCTGAATTCCTACATGGATTTTTAAAAAAAACATTTTTGGAAATGTTTGCCATTTCCTTCTTCTTAGGATAGAGAGGATGCTCAAGGACACCTGGCTCATGACGAAGGTAGCACTTAAAACTCATAATCTTCCAGTTTCTAGCCTGGTGCTATTAACCATTATACCAGGGGTCAGCAACCTTAAACACTCAAAGAGCTATTGGAACAAGTTTCCCACAGAAAAGAAAATACTGGGAGCCACAAAACCCTCCCCATGCCTGACTAATTCCTGAGCGGCCACAAAACTAGCATATGTAGTTGAATTAAACATTCTGTTTTTTTCTGAAACTTTTCTTGGATTTACCCATGGTTGGCCTACTGGGAGTCAAAAAGCCCAATTAATTGTGTGCCAATGGGTGTCACACCCATTGGTGGTTGTGACACATATTTTGAGCGGCAGGGAGCCGCAACATAGGGATGAAAGAGCCACATATGGCTCTAGAGCTGCGGGTTGCTGACCCCTGCACTATACCAAGCTTGCTCTCAATTTTGAAATACTACTACATAATAGCAAAGAAAAACTTTACCATCTCGATAAAAGTGAGGCACAGTTGGGTGTCGGTATTCAGCTGCTATATCTGGGTTCCACAACAAGCGATTTAGTATAAACACTGCCAAACCCATCACATCACTGTTACTTTCCAAAGCAATCAGTTCACCAAAGATTGTCTGACAAAGAGAAAAGGGTGAAAATAATTCAAACAATGAATAAAACTATTGTAGCAATAGGATGACATTCAAATTTTTGAAACAACTTGGTACATGAACATATCATTAATTTCACTGAGTCTGCATTGCTATAAGATTATCCTCACAGAGTATTTTAGAAAGCAATAGAACAATGTATGGGAAAGGAAAAAAACAATATTATTACATTATGTTAATGCAGCTGTTCTCATCACTGAAAATCAGCTTAATGAGCCACAAAATACTGCACTTGTTTTGGCCACTGATACCTATTCATATTAAGCATTATGTTCTCAAGCAGAAGAATTTTGTATTAAAGAATATTTTATCCTGATCTTCAACATTTCCTTGTAACACAATAATCATTAGACTTTACAAAATAGCATATTGCTTACAGAATAATAATTAAAAAGTACAAACTCACTTCCAGACCTATGCGCAACCACAGTGGATTGTAACATAAAAGCCAGTTGAGGATTTTCTGTCGTTCTCCTGAAAGACAGGCACAAAAGCATTATGTAGTAAAAGCATTTCTGAATATTACAGAAAGATATTGATCACATTAGTAGTAGAGACATGATCAATTTATTCATCAATTTTCTTAAGTTGTCAAAAAAAAAAAAAAACCCTCTAAAACAGAAGTCCCCAACCTTTGGGACACTAGGGATCAGTTCCATGAAGATTTTTCTGTGGACCAGAGGGAGTATGGTTTTGCATGCTGCCTGTATCCCATGGACCAGGGATTGGGGACCCCTGCTCTAAAACACAACCATATTCTTACCAATATCTTTCCACAGATGTCTGTCTTTTCGAACTAGCAAACGTTTTGCTTCAATTTCAATCTCCAGCCTTTTTATTGCTTTCACCATTTCATCACAGGTAAACAAGCGGCAAGCTGACCTACGAAGTCTGTTTAATTTGCATCGAGTTGTATATGCTCTTAATGATGCTTCTTCTTTTGTTGGTGCTTTAGGAACACTGGTTTTATAAGTCTCTGTTCCCAGGATGAGACATGCTGCATTAACTAATAAAGAGAAAATGGTTTTATGCGTTTAAAACTTAAGACTATCTCAACTTAAAAATCATACGATTGTCATTAAAATGACAGCCAGATGGCTGAAACTTGCTGAGCACACTGACACCAAATCCTAAGCAAGTCCAACAACCAAGCGAAAAGATCTTGTAATCTGATTGCTAGGCTGACTTCAGATAATAGTAGCAGGTCCAACACAACTATATTTCTAGTTGTTTGTAATAAATGTGATGATGCATGAAAGAATTGTAATGAAAAAATTTTAATGCATATAACACAGCTAATTTCTGGAACTCAGAACAATTCTTATATTTTGCAACTACTCTTACTTAACCCTTAAAATATTACGGTGCCATTGATCAACTTTACCTTGTGAAATGTCTGTTTTCAGAGTAAAATCATCAGGAGTAAGTACAAAATTCAACCACCATGTAAAACCTCGTTGTTGTTTTTCTTTCCATTGCTCATCGTAAAACATATTCTTTGCTGCAAAAGGCATTGGATGTCTAGGAATATCTTTTAAAATAATTAAAAGTTATATTATTGTTTTTGCTGAAACACTGAAATCCTTATCAATATATCAACTCCATTGTCCATCACTTCCTAGTCTCCATTTCTAACTGCAAATGGAGACTAGGAAGTGATGGACAGTGGATTGGAAATGGGTATTTCTTAAAGTGCATAACCCTTGCATTGTAACTGGCTCTTCTATTTAGTGTGACTATTTTGAAGGTTGTTCCAGTTATTTGAATATGAATGTGCATTCACAAAAAAAAGTTATAACCACCAATAAGATGAGGCAGGTCTGCATGCAGATTGCTTCTCGGCCTTTTGGCTACAGTCAAATGTAATGCAAAAAAAGTTGTGGAGACAAGCTTTCAAAAGAGCAGTACAAGCCTTTCAAATCACATGGCTGCTTTAACACCGATAACATATGTGTGGTATGAAAATGAAAAGAATGCAAACCATATAATTTTACTAACTTTTGCTGTTTTTACTATTTCACCCAATGTATTTTAATACTTTGCCAAAATTATTTCAAATGGTATTTTTTAAAAAATCTTTCTTTCAAAGTGCAAAATGCCAGCTTATATTTACCTGTTTTTAAAGGCTTCACAAAAGTCAGTTGAGACTGTGCAACAGGAACAATATTTTTTGTCCTTTTAAAATTCTTTGATTTTTGAGATGAAGAACCTGAAAAAAAATAAATTTCTAACATCCTAAATGTGAAATTGAAACTGTAGAAAGAAATATCCCTCTGGATTCAGTTCCAAGTGGGGAAGAAAGAGACTGGGAACACGGCGACTGTTTGGAAATATGGTTTAATGGTAGACAGGATATGTCTGGGAGCTCCTGGGTGAAAAGGGAAGAAATGCCGAGTGCTTGGTTTTATGCCCTCTGTTGCAGAGGTGGCATTCAGCAGGTTCTGACTAGTTCTGGTAGTGGAAATTTTGAGTAGTTTAAAGAACCAGCAAATACCACCTCTGACTGGAGATTTTATAGTATCCTTCCCCTGCTACGAGCACCAAGCCACGCCCACAGAACTGGTAGTAAAAAAGTTTGAATTCTACCAGTACTGTTGGGATTTTAATTTGAGCTTGTATTCTGACTGGTTGTCAGACTCCCATGGGGCCATACGGGGCAACTCTGTAGGCTGTCCTGAGTCCCAGGCTTGGTTGAGCCTTGCTGGATGATGATGTAATGAAAGGGCTTTGGGAAATTCTTACTATGGAGCTACTTGAGGGAGATAGATCTTCATTATGTAGAATACTCTAGCCCAGGCCTTAATGGCCCATTAACAAAGGCGAGAATGCGGTGGCCCAATGGCTAAGACTCTGAGCTTGTCGATCAGAAAGGTTGGCAGTTCGAATCCCGAATACCGCGTAACGGAGTGAGCTCCCGTTACTTGCCCTAGCTTCTGCCAACCCAGCAGTTCAAAAGCATGCAAAAATGCAAGTAGAAAAATAGGGACCGCTTTGGTGGGAAGGTAACAGCATTTTGTGCGCCTTTGGCGCCAGCCACAACCACAGAAACATTTTCGGACAGTGCTGGCTCTTTGGCTTTGTAACGGAGATGAGCACCACCCCCTAGAGCCAGAAACGACCAGCACATATGTCCTAGGGGAATCTTTACGTAACAAAGGTATGTGGAGAGGTGAGTTTCTACCTGAATTTCTACTTCTCTTTTAGGGGAAATATTTTGCCTTTTTTAATATATCCTAAAATATTTCCTTTCTTTAGGAGGGGTGGGTTTTAACTTCCAACAAAGCAAAAGATCAAGAATGTATATAACAAACTGTTCTATTATTTTGTAATCACAAGAGAATGAGAACAAAATATTGGATCATTCTGAACTTCATAAAATATCATTTTTTCTAACAGAATACCAATTCAAAATTAAATGCTTTTTTTACATTACCATATCTCTTCTTTTGCTTATCTCCATTCTGAGATTTGGAAACTGATAATTTCAAAGCACTCTTGCTTCCATTTCCATTACAGGACTTCAGAGTTCTTTTTCTTCCCAAATTTTCTGCATATTCTCTTCCATTCTTAACATCTTCTAAACATTCTCCACTTTTTCTTTTACGGTTATGAGATGATTCCAAATAAATGAACCCAGCTTTATCTTTGATACATTTAGTTTCATTTGAGACACTTTCTATAACTGGAAGTCTTGATAATGTGTCCAGGTTTGCATTTTTAGGGATAACGTCCATACAATGCTCTATTGCAGTAGAAAGACATTTTTTAGATTTTAGTTTTAATGTCTTTGTTTCTTTTCCCTCAGGATTGGGCTTAGTTTTGATAACAGTACTAGAAAGCAAAGGCTTTTTTTTGTTCTGAAGGTAGCAAGCTTGATCACTTGCCTTTGATTTGACATTTTGTTCAAATTTATCATAGGAACATGTTACAGGATTTCTTTCATTTATATTGTTGGGAGCTTTGGTGGATAGCTGAGGTTCCATAAAAAAAGAAACTTGTACCTTTTCTTTCTGTTTTGAAAATTTGGCTGTTGACATACATGATTTCACATCTGAAGAATAGGATACTGTTTTACGTTCTGAGATTGGCTGTATAACTACTCGATTTTCTCTTAAAAACTGATCAGGTGAAATAGGTATTGCTGTAGCTGCATCAAGTTCTGTCACTTCATAACTATTATTTATAAAAGAATCAGGACTTAAAATCTTCCTATGATTCAAAGATATATTCAATTGTTGTGGTGTATTGACTGAGTTTGCATTTATTTCTGCTGAGTTAATAGTATGTTGGCATACTTTCTTTTTCTCCAAAACATTATCATATAGAGTTGTAACAATAGGGGGTTTTGTTACATCATTTAATAACTTATGACATGCTGGTGTTTCTGGAACAGAATATGTAGCTGATAGGGGAGTATAAATGACGTGTTGGTTTTTCGGACTGATGGGACTAATAGACGAAAGAGAAATGTTATGTTCTGAAATGATTAAGGAATTTCCATTAGGTGAAATTCTGTTTGAATTTACTTCCAGATTCTCACAGGACTGAAGAGGGCTTCTATTTTTCTCTGTTTTTTCAGACACCTGAAATGTTTTATTTATACTTTTAATGACTGGTACTCTTTTTCGTGATTGCTGGGCAGGAGTTCTTCTTTTAATAGTATCCCAAAGATTTTTCTGAAATGACATTTAATACACATAGACAAGTATTATAATTTTCCTTATTTCCCTATAAAATTAAAAGCTCATACTGCCTGACATATTTATAAGTAAGTAAATATAAATAAATATAAAGGAACAGTGATTCTCATTTTTAAAATTGGCATCAGTATTGCAGTATTTTAATGCTATCATTTACATATCTCTACTGCATATTTATTTACAATAGCTATTTTTTCATTTGTTAAATCCAATGTTGCGGAAAATTCAAGATGCTTAAAACCAAGCGAGTTATATTAAAATTTCAGAGAAGGTACAAGAATATATATATATAGAGAGAGAGAGAAGCAGATATAAGTGTTGTGGAGATTTGAAATATTATAAAGCTCATAGACCTATGACATTTCTGCCTTTAAGATGTTTGTCCTCCTTTAGGGAAAATATTCTATTCTGTCTCTTTTTAATATTAAAAATAAAGAATATTTTATTTGGTGAGGGGTTGTTTCCTACAGAACTTCCTACCTTTTTCTTTATAGGCTGCTCAGCATTCCCCAGCAAAACTGCTTGATGTTTTACAGCATCATTTACAATAAAAGTTATGAGCTCTCGAACTTTGCCGCCTTCTAGTGGCGTCCATGTTATTAATATATAGATCCTCTCTCCAGGCTGCAAAAGAAAAACATAAAACAAGCAGATGGCATAGTATCTGTGACAAATACATGAAGAATATATTCAGTTTCAAGTGCAATTTTGTATAAACCTAGTTTCTTTGAATGATAAAAGTTATATTCCGGGAGTATATTTAATTGTATCATTCTCCAGAAAAGGAAGGATCAAATTTTGCTTTGTGTGCAATCTCCAAATATGCTTGGAAACGTAAGAGCTTTAAATAGCAGAACTGTGGTTTCCATAGTGTAGTCCTAAATATAAAGTCAAATTATGTTTAAAATAATGTATAAGAATAAAATTATGCTTATATATTTTGCGAGTATAGTACAAATGTTTCTCAATACAAAATGTCAACATCAATTGGAATAGAGCTGGAAGGGACCTTGGCCTTCTAGCCCAACCCCCTGCTCAAGCAGGAGATCCTAGAAATATCCTATGTATAGTAGTTTTCCTGGAAATATTACATGCAGAAATGATATTATGACATTGCCTTCTTCACATTTTTTTCAACTTCCCAACTTTTCTCTCTGTAGTGAGATTTTCTGGCAAGTTTTCTATCCATGCAAAAACGGCTTAGTTTTTGAAGATTCATCATTGTAAACTATGTACTGCAACCTAGCTAGATTCTTACTCCCAATATCTGATATTACAAGTTAAGTTGTATAATAAAAGCCAGTTTGGGTGTTCAAGCCATCTGGCTAGAGACTGGGAAACCATGAATTCTTGGCACTATGCACAAAGATAGATCGGATCAATCACTTTGTTCAGCCTAGGAAAAGGCAATGGTAAACTTCTGAAATCTTGCCAAGAAAATTGCATGCACTATATCCATCCAAGTAATGGGCACACCAAATTGCATAGCCATACTGAATACACACCACATAAACAGAGACAATACTTTTTATATATTATCATGTTCACGTTAAACATTGGTCTGTGGAAAGTATTTTATTTTAATAATCTCTACAGACTTAAAAGAATCTATTAAGTCACACTTCCCCATACTCACAAATAGGCTGTCCAGACACAGCAAAAGGCAAGACAAGACACCAGGGAGGACAATTAAGACTGACATTTTGATACAGTCAAGCACTAGAATTAGCACCTATATACATGCCCCCCAGCCCACACCAAGGACCAGTTTCCCATTTTCTCTGCAGCCTACCACCAAGAACAAGCTCTTTGCTTTGGGGAATAAATAAATCATCTCCTTTCCACTTGCAGTGTACCTTACATCTTATTTTTACCCTGGCTTGGAAAAGGGATCTGGAAAATTCTTTTAACAAGTCCTAGTATAAGTACAGATAGTTGTTGACCACAATTGAGCCAAAAATTTCTATTGTTTAAGTGAGACATTTGCTAAATGAATTTTGCCCCATTTTATGATCTTTCTTGCCACAGTTGTTCAGTGAATCATTGCAGTTGATAACTTAGTAATCCAGTTGTTAAATCAATCTGGCTTCCCAATTGACTTTGCTTGTCAGAAGGTCACAAAAGATGATCACATGAGCTTGGGGCACAGCAATGGTCATAAATATGAACCAGCCAAGTATCTGAATTTTGAACACATGATCATAGGGATGCTGGAATGTTTGCATATTCACCAGATGCTGCTCAATGGATTCTCCAGGTTGCGAACTGGCTCTGTATAATTGCTTTATCTATAATTATCTTTCTTGATAATTGCACAGTATTGCATGCTGACACACTGACATGCACAGTCCTTAATTTCTGCCAGAGTTCCTATGCAGTCTTTAAATCAGCTACATTGATAAACAGTTCATCTTGTAAACGTAAGATGATATAAGTCATTGCTTTATCATGCTGTCTCTGATCTGCAGCAGG